TGTATACACACACAGCAATAATGCTCACATTTTCACGACCATTTATCTTGAAGCCAGTGAGACTGATCTGAGCCTTGTGGCACTGGGTGTGACCTAAGGTGTCTTGAGGGATCTCTAGCAGTTTTTGAGCTGTGGGACATTTTCTGGGCTGGGCCAGGTTCTTTATGGCTTTTTTGTTCTCACGTGAACTATGTGGGTGACTAACGCTGCTGCCCATCATCAAACTTTATCCTAAAAGAACTTGTAGATGTTTGTTTTGACAGTGGCCACAATCTCTTCCATCAGCTTCAGTCACCATCTCAACACCTGAACTTCTTAGCTTATTTCTGACATAACTCAAATAGATCACACTAGATCATCACACTTCCCTTTCAGGCCTCTGATTAAACTCACACACTTCATCTGGTAGTTCAATAGCGGCTGCAAGCCTGGATTCCTTTTCTGAAGTTACTTCCAAAATCCTATCCATAAATTAGTAGCTGTGGTATGTTTATTAGTCTCCAGGACTTCAGGCAGCATATTGATTTTGGGCAGAAGCTTAGCAACTGGTTTGTCTAAAGAATTTAATTTCCTATAACCACATGTTGCCATCATATTATCCTGTACCAAGACACACACACATTTAGGAGCTCAGGAGCTCCCGAGTGCTATGTGCAGACTGTTTGCTCATGAAGTTCTTGCAAATAGAGCTTCTCAGAATCCTCCTGGTGGCCCAGTCTCCCAGCCACTCTCATCCCCAACCCATTTTTACCCCTGCTACCGTGTTTCTGAGGCAAAACTGTCCTAGCAGACCAATGAGGGGCCAAGAAACACTTTTCATGGCATTGGTTGGAATAACTCTGTTACATTTTTCTATCAGTACATGTAAAACTAGTGTAGACATTTGAAAAACAGGAGTTATTCCTTTATAGGAGAGTAACATAGTAGCCTATCACCTATCCACATTCAAGCTATTTTTATTGTTTTGCTTTATCAGCAAAGAATAGTGTAAAACATCCTTTAAGAAATACGTATTGCTTGACCCAACAGTGCACTATGTAAATTCTGGTGCTAGAAATGTTCACATTTTTGGGATGCCACTGTTGCCAATTACAGAGATTTCAGTTCTTTGTTATATGGGGATTTGGGGCAGGGTTAGTAACATGACTCCTTGTAGGCCCATCTTCCTTTGCTAGTACTGGCCCATTTTCCATGGAGTACTGTTTGGATCTAAGTGGGAAAAACAGCTTTTAACTGTCAGTGACATAGCTTCTTTCCTAATGGAGCATGCATCCTTTCTCATTCTTTGACTTCTGACAGGATACAGGTCTCACTTCCTTGTTCTCCTCCTGAGCCCGAGTCCAGCAAGGCTGTGGGAAAGCAGAAACTCCCAAGTTTGCTTCCGTGCTCCAGTTCTCAACACCATCACTCCAAGCCTCTAACATGACTGTAAGGTGGTTTCCCTGTACTAACAGAAGCAAGAGATGGGAGCCAGAAGGATTTGGAAAGAAAACTAAGGGGGGGACATCTTTCTTTCTCCAAGGGCAAAACTGCTTTTCTTGTTATCTCTGGTGTGCCATTTGTGGTTTCTCACCAAGGGTTCAAAGCCCAAGGGTCTCTCCAGTTTCCTGCTGAATATTCTCATACACTTGTATTACAAGAACAATTTAGGTTTTATGGGTTAGATTATTAAATCACAAAATGTTGGGTTGTACCACTGATTAACCAATAAAACTCAATTCCTGGGCCCTCCTCCGAGAGGTTGTGACTTCACTGGGCTGGGCTTGGACAGTGGAAACCCTCCAAGACTGTTTCCAGCTAAAGCTGGGACCCATGGTCTTCCCTGATTTGTCCTATCATGCATTTGGCAGCAGAGGAAAGTGAGGACATGAAAGGAAATGTAGCTTGCCCAGAGTCATGCTACCGAGTGCCAAATTCAAGCTACTGTTCATACTTCATGGCCTCTAGGCCACTGTACCAAACCGACAAGTGCAGAGGACTCCTTCTCAAAGATGGCTAGCTAATGGTGCTATTCTCAGGCACCACTATTCATGTGGCTACGGTTAAATCTGTCTTTACATTCTCAGCATCAGCCGTTTGCACCCACATGGGCAATCAATAGATGCCTGGCCTCTCGTGGCTGTAAGTGTCTCCTCTGCCTGTTCCCATCTTTTCTCTTGAGAGTCACCTTTGGGCCAATGTGACTTTATGGCACTCGTGGCTCTGGACACCACTCTTTCTTGGTCCTTGCCACAGAAGTTGGTAAACACATGCCTTCCCCAGTACTATGTGCTCCCCAAACAGGGTCTCCCACTCACCACTGCTTGCCGACCGCTTGATACTCAAGGCCCCTGCTGAGGAGGCCAGCAGCTTAGAGTGGGGGCGCACACTCCCCTCACACTGTGGAGCAGAAAGAACTATGTTCAGCCTCCCATTTCTGTTTGCCACTGTGCATACATCTGAAAAGTGAGTCCCAGGCGGGCTCAGTCACCTGCCAATAGTGAAACCACAGATGAGTGGCAGAGCATTAACCCCTTCAAGAAGACCCAGCTGTTGGCAAGCCATTGCTTGCTGCTGCCTTTTATTTAGCTTGTGGAAGAGTTCCCCTTTCCTACTCACGCACATGTGCCTTTTGCTTGTCACATTCTCCTCGGGTGCCACTCGTGGTGGCAGCATTTAAACAGCTGCTCTACTAAGTTGATGCTTACATGTAATATGCTCCGTGCTGCCTGCTTTGCATTCTGATGGTGATTTCCTCCAAATAAAGTCAAGTCTGCATGACAGAAGGTTTAGTAATCAGTGTTTAATACTTCTGAGTAAAAGGAGGAGCTGGACCAGAAGCAAGGGGCAACCCATACAGAAAGATCTGTGAGCATGCAGCCGGCTGTCTCTCCAGTGCCTTCCACCCTAGTATGCCCCTCCTCTGTTCCTGCCTTCCTCATCCTTCATTTCAGTAACTGTTCATCTCATCTCTTCCAAACCTTTTAAGGAGCTTGCCATCTCCTGTTCGTGCCTGCCAACGCTGTGATCTAACTGTGGCTCTAGGAAGACAGCAGGCCAGCAAGCATTCCTCCTGGTTAAATTAAAAAAGACCTTTCAGCTCCGCATCAAAGGACATATCTGCTGCACTTTATACCACCACCATCAGTGCGAGGCTGACACCATCTCAAGTTCCAACCATGTTTTTCCTTCATATGCAAGATCACTGCCTTTACCCCTGGGCTTCTCACTGGATTCTCAGCCCTATGGAAGCAAGGTCAAATCCCTCCTGACCACTAAAGTCTTGTGCTATGGTGGCATGTAACCACAGATAACAACATGGTATTAGTTTATGATACTGCACCAAGCACTAGACCAATCAGCTCAATCCTAGGAAATAAGAAAAAAAAACACTACCAGGACTTAGCAAAGCAGCTGGCACAGACAGAAAACTCAAACCACTATCACTATTAACTCCAGTCACACCCAAATAATCAAATCATGGCTGTCTTCTCTTCTACCCATACCTCTCAAATGCCCATATGTTACAGCTGAAGACAGTAAATTGTTGCCCAAAACTCAGCCTTCCATGAGGATCTAACAGCCTCCAGCCCACACAGCCCAACTGACAGGTGCACAGAAACTGCGGCCATTCCTCACAGGTAACTCTGTTATGTGGGTGACCTTTGTTCCCTTATGCTAGCAAAGTCCCAATTCTCTCTGGAGACAATTATCAACCCCATCCTTAAATCCCACATGTCACAACAGAATTTGCTGCCACTGAACTGAAAGGGATTCAAGAAGTCTTTTGATGGGATGCTGGCCACGACTCTCCAACTCCCCCAACACCCTGACCCTGACCCCTGCTCTCCTTCAGTCATAGAGCAGGTTTCAGGGAACATGGTCTGAAGAAAATAGCTCTGATGACACAGAATAAAACAGCAACAGTTCTAGAAAAGAAGTTCTAGAAAAAAAAAACAAACAAAAACCAAAACACACCAAACCCAGAAAACACATGAAAAACAGACATTACATGCTCACACATTAGAAGATTTAGTAAGACTGTTAAGGTGGCAACTGTTCAGGATAATCCTTTCATGTTCTCAAGTGTGAACACACAGTCCCCGTGAGTTCTAGCTGCTCCAATGTTGACTGGTCAAATGAAGCTAGAGTAGGGTTTTCTCATGGCTTAGACCTTTAAATAGCTGGGGCTTTGAAAAGTAGACCTCTGAAGGAAAATGGCAGTCTTCAGACTCTACTGTGAAGGAGTGAAGTAAGCAGTCAGGAAGGAAGGGACAGGGTTGCACCTCCTTCCTTGAAGCTATTCAGCTGTGACTAAAAGTTCATAAAATTTACAGATAGCTGATAATGTTGTTGCCACGCAACTTTTTCCTAACTTTCTCAACATCACTTTTTAAACTCTGAAACTTCTGACTTCACAGAATTTAAAAGCTAGTTCACCAGTGTTTGCACGTGAGACCATGCATTCAAACCCCACCACTCAAACAACACCCACACCACAAAAGCCGGGTGGTGAATAAGACAGAGGCACATGCCTGTGACCTCAGCACTTTGGAGGCTAATGCAGGAAGATGACCTCCATTTCAAGGTTAGCCTGGTACACAAATAAGTTTCAGGTGAAGCAGAATATCCCACAATAGAAACACGAGACAACTTGGTGGGCATTTTTTCTTAAACAGAGTTTCAAGATAAAAGTATTAAGACACAAGGGAAATGCAGTTATCTGATACCTGGGTTCTACCCAAGATATGATTTAAGTGGTCTGGGGTGAGACTTGAACAGAAAAAAAAACAAAAGCAAAAACAAAAACTGAAGCTCACTAGTTAAGTCTAAAGATCAGCAGCACTCTTTCCTGGGGAACCAAATGCTCACTCATCCTGCTGGGCTAGGATAACATGAAGGAAGACTTAACTGTGACACATATGGTACCCGCATGCAGTTATAGAACAAAAGTGACTGCTATGCCTGGAATGTCCTCGGCAAATGCATTCTATACATATATGTTGATGACTTTGCCAATGTTATTTCTCTTAACATTTATTTTATTTAAAAATAAATTTAAAATAATAAAATTGTAGTGGCAAATAATTTTAAATTAAAATTTCCTACTTAAAAAACTAACAGAGACACATTTTCTAGTGGGGAAGACCTTATTGCCATTAGTAATACTTAAACCAAGGAAAGGTGCTGTGGTTTTAAACATGGTCTCACTGGAGATGAGAGCAGAGGACCGCAGCAAATAGGAAACGCTGCAGGTAAGCACAGAAGACATCTGCTTGGCCCTGCAAGCACCAGGACAAAGCACCTGCCACATGAGAACTGCACATAGAAGACACAGAACAAAATATGTGTATTACTTTTAGCATGTTAAAAACAATCACATCAAAAAGTATACAGATAAAAAATGCCATAAATGACATAAGAAAATAGTGTGTGTATATATATATTGCATACATATATATATATATATATATTCTACATTATTTATACCACTATGATAGATACTTTCTGGAGAGGCACAGATACTGCCATTACAAACTAAATTGTACAGCTTGGTCCTTATAAGTCACAGAGTCATACTTTAAGAACTGTGATTATATCCTCAACTACATTTCTACATACATTTATTTCTCACCTTCCACATGATCTAAATCAAGAGCCTGGTTATGTTATCAGGAGTTGGAGTTTCAGTGTGGTGTCAACTTTAATACACTGCGTTTGTTTCCACACTTAACAACATCATTACCACATTGATTAAATTACATTAGAATCCTTATATACATAAAAAATATTGTCACGTTCGCTAGCTAAACAAATGTTACTTTCATCTTAAGATAGATTCTTGTACCTCAAATGCTTAAATCCCCAACGTGCAGGACTTTCTGTTGGACTTTCTGATATTCAGATACAAGAAGGTAACGATGGAATGGGCATCCACGCAGACAGATGTCCTCTCTTGGAGAACCCAGCATTTTGTCAGCATTTAGTAACAGTAGTGTATGATAGCATATTTTAACTTTTTCTTTTTTTTAACCATGAACCTCAATTATTTTTTTCATGGAAACATTTCTCAAAAACTATGAAACATACTATGTATTTTTTTTTATAAAGATCAAAATTCTAGATGCTTATTAGTAATTAGGGTATTTTTCCACAATTTTGACAAGGATAATGTAATGGCCCAGTAAGTGTGGCAATATCCATCCATGATATTCAGTAAAGACTGAGTGCCAGAAAAAGGCTATGTGAATGGTTCCCCTGGGGTATGTGAAACTGAAGCCAAGAGCGGAGTTGCATTATGGTTAATGCTGCTTTCAAATGAACTTGAAAGGCAGCCTTCTACTACCCAGAGTACTACAAGGTCTGTGACTTCCAACTCCTTCTGCGGCCAGTCCCTTGCACCTGGCAGGGAGCAGGCCGATGCTGTGCAAGGGCCAGACCAGAGCCAAGGGCACAGGGCACAGGGCACTGAGGCAGCTGGAGGTAGACACAGCAAGTACCGCGTCACAGCCACACACTCAAGTTAACTGACCCATATTTTAAGCACCATTAAGTGGTCATCCTTTCTCCCCAGTGTCTTTAATTTTCAGGTAGAGATAAAATGGCAGTAACTGAAGGAGAATGACATTCTGTGAGATGTAGGGTTTATAAAGTCAGGATGAATTTTTTTAAGTCAGTTTCAGTTTAACCTAGGTTAAAGTATGATGGGCAGAGAGGGCAGAAAAGTAAGGCGGGAGGAAAAAAACAACATGGTTATTTCATGGATCTAGATTAAAGGTAGTTTTAAAAAGCATTTCTAAGTTCTGTGATCTACATCTGTGTGCACAGGTGCTTGTCATGTCTATTGAAGAACGAGGGACAGCCTTCAGAGCATGCGCCTCTATGGTGTCTCAGTGCTGTCTAACAGAAGTCAGGAGAGAATGTATCACAAAGTGAAAACATCCAGGTCTGAAGGAAAGATTCGAACGAAACAACATGAAGAACCTCACTGTGTGTGCATCCCTAAATGCTATTGCTATGTTTCCAGGTTATTCTCCTATTAGTTTCGGTGACGATGCAACTGAACACTCATCTTCAGCAGCATCTACATGGGGATGAAGCATTTCCACACTCTTTTACTGACACACACTGGAACCGCATGAGTTGTTTACAATAGTATAAAATACTGCTTTGGCAATTATAAACATAGCAATGTGGTTATCATAGGGATTCTATCATTTTGTCTTCAATGAATACAGCCCAGCTCTCACAGCAATACTGATTCCTGAATAGAAAGTCCCTCTCTGTTTCTGTAGTGATGTGCTGGAGGTGAGGGGCCTGTATACTGATACCCAGGAGGACTGGCATCTTCCACAGCCGGTGAAGTTTTATACCTCACTGGACTGTCAACAGATACTTCTGGAAGGCCATGGTCCTGAAAAGGTACATGTTGAAAGGGTGCATATTTTGATAGATTGCTGAAGTGGCTACGGCTAGCATCTCGAGTCCATGATTGTCCATGCATCTCAGGCCTGTATGAATAACTAACTTCTGACCATTTTCTGCTCTCTGGTAAATAATCCACTGGAGGAAGGATGAACTTTCCATTCTTTGGTGATCCTGAACTGCCAGCATATCCCCCGGCACCAATGTCAATGGGAAGAACTTCAATTTGACTAGATGGCAGAACAACAGGCATTGGGCGGCTGTAAGGTTTCTCTGGAGAAATATCAACTGAAAGAGAAGAACCATATGGTCTCCTGGAAGGATTAATTTGAGTCCCAGGGCTGATCTGTGGGGACACAAAGCTGCTGTGGGCAACAGGGATGTGTTTTGGAGAATTTCCATAGTAAACAGGGGGATTGCTGTAGGAGGGTGGATATGCAGCCCTGTGATCCTCTCCTTCTAACTGGGATGGGTATCTTACATGGCTGGGAGGCTGCACTTTAAAAGTGAACTTGTTGGGTACTTTTGATGGGCTGGAACTTGGCTCAGCGTGCTTCCTTGGACTGTGAGGGTGTGTCCGTTCTGGTGCCTCTTCCACAGATGCCCCAATTTCATTTTCGCTTCCAGGCACATTGTCATACTGTGAAGCGTTAGAGCCCCGCTTCCCATCACTGCCATCAAAAACCTTCATCTTCTGCCTTGAGTTGGACATTCGGGTCTCAGCAGAACTTGGGATGGCAACTGCAGGAGTGGGGTACAGTGAGTGACTTTTGCCTTCAATGGCATATTTAGCAGTTCTTTCAATTGCTGAGGCATCTGACGGTTTTCTCCATTTGGGCATAAATTCCTTTCTGATGTTTGAAACTGCATTGCTATTTTGGTTAGCAGCTGCATGGTTATAGTGCCTAGAACTGTCCTGTGGACCTGACAAAGGTTTTCTCTGAAAATCTGCCTCATGCTTCAGATTTTTACTATCCTCATCCACTGACTTGCGTCTTGGTTGCCCAGCTCTTTCTGGGGTACCAGTTCTGCTATGGTGGGCGGGGGAATGTTCATGTTTCTTCTGGGGTGATCCATTTTCTCTTCTGCTGCTTATTTGGGGGCTGGGCCTGCCAACACTTCTTTGTCCGTTACTCAACTGATTAATACAAGCAGGATTACACTCAGGAGGAAGCTGTCCCAAAGGTTTCTTTGGATATTCATCCTCCTTACCTAAAAGAAAGATAAATGTATAAGTAAAACAAATATAGGAATGATGAGTAGCTAGTCTAAGAGACACATTATTAACAACTGCAGATTGCCTTGTGTATGTGGAAACATGTACTTTCATACTGCAACATTTGGTGATTAACAGGAAGCCATTTTTAGAGAAAATGGCACTAAGACATTGCTACCTTTAAAATCTAGTTAAGTACTGTGCAAGTGGAGGCAGCCTGTTGCCTCACCAGCAAGGTTCATACAACTGCCTGACATCTAATTCTTCTGTTTTCTTAAGACACACTGCCACACACTTTCTACACACAAACCTAACGCTCTCATTCCTAACAGAATGGGTCAGTGCTTGAGTCTTAACAGTATGTTACTTTCATTTTAATCCATCTCAACTAAAGTGGTTTTGAAATCAGTAAAGTCACTTTCAGTTTCAAGCAGATCTGCCAAAGTTGAAATCTGAAAGTCACTTGATAACTTACTGAGGTCCCCAAGTTCTCCCCAAATTATTATTATCTTGGGTGTTTTTCACAGTATAACTTACTGTTTAAAAGAAATATATTCTCCAATTGAAAACAAACTAAGAATACCCTACTTAAAAAAGTAAAGAAAAGAAATTTAGAAAGAATAAAAACCACATTAATTAAAAAAATTGTGTGTGTTTTGCCTGAATGTGTGCATGTGCACCACTTGCATGGCTGGTGCCTGGAACCCTGAAGAGAATAACAAATCCTCTAGAAGTGGAGTTACAAATGGTTGTGAGCACTGGGAATTGACGTTGGGTCTTCTAAAGCAGTGTACTTAACCACAGAGCTATCTTTTCAGCCCATTTTAGTTTTATATCTTAAATAATTAACACAGAATTGTAAGGAACTGAAGGAAGATGCAATAAAATGGCTAGTTAGCAAGAAGTAGTTTTAAATGCTCTATTACAACACTGCCAGATTACCATGAAACTGATATAAATTACTGTGAAAAAAATGACATTTGCAAGAACTTCAAAATATTTTATTCATTAATACAAAACAGGTTTTTTTTTTTTTTTTTTTTTTTTTTTGTCACTTGAAAATAAGGCTTTGCCAGGCAGAGGTCACACACACACCTTTAATCCCAATACTTGGGTGGTATAGGCAGATGGATCTCTGTGACTTTGAGGTCAGCCTGGTCTACAGAGTGAGTTCTAGGACAGCTAGAACTGTTTCACAGAAACCCCCCCCCCCAAAAAAAGGAAAAGACGGCTTTGCTTTCTTCAAATATTCACTTTAATGATACATCTAACTGATACTTATTATGACCTGCGTGGGGATGCCGTGGACATGGAGAGGTGATATTTTCACATGGGGGTGGGGGAAGGGATACCATGTTTATTACTCTTAGCATTCTCATACCATGTGCTTCTGTATAGAGAGTTTTAATTGGTACAAAACAGTTATACATCCACTTCTGTAGGATATTTTAAGAAAAATACAATTCTGTGTTTAGAGGGGGAGAACAAATACCATCACCCTTTAAATATACTGCCAGCATCAGAACCATGCAGAGTCTAGGAAATGGCTCGGAGGGCAAAGGCTGACAAGCCAAAGGACTCAAGTTCAAGCCTTGAAACCCACAAGATACAGACAATAAACAGATATGACAGAGCACTGCTTAGCATGTACAAGGCCCCTGGATCCCATCAGCCACTTTCCAACCAGACCCAACCATGTAAAACGTGGGAGTGGGAGGGTGCAGAGCAGAGCAGAGTGCCAGAAAGAGCAAGACCCTCTCTCTCTGAACAAAGGCCCCAGGAGGCCAGGAAACTGACTAGGTCACAACACCAGGACTTTCGGTTTTGTTCTGAGTTAACTGGAGATTTCTAGAGACTTTTCAGCAGATCAGTTCTATAATCTGAGGTATATGAAGAAGTTATTTTAAATGGTGGTTTAGATTTAGATTGTGGTAATAGTAAATGACAACAATGATAGTCACAATTGCTAACATTCGGTAAGTAATTACCACATGTCAGTCACCATTCAAAACGCTGTGCATACAGCATTAACAGGCGCAAAATTTCATTATCTCTTTATGTGGGAAAACTGAAACAGAGAAGAATCTGCTCAAGTGTTCATGGCTGCCAAGTGGCATATCCAGAGTCAAAGGCAAAGCTGGCTCAGCATCTTCACTCTCCCCTTATGCTCTGCTGCAACGGACCAGTGAGATGGGTTGCTTCGGACACTTGAATGTGCCTACTGAGTTGGTAAGATGTGAGATGGGAGGCAATTAGCAGAGTGAAGGGTGTCTGCTGCTTCAAAGACAGAACAGCACACCACTCAGCAACCCCGACATAAACAGCATTCCCATGTGTCTCTTCTATGACTAAGCTATTTCATAATATTTACAAAATTATTGCAAGTGGTAACACAAACTTGAAAAGGCTGAGTTAAATGCCAGCTGAGGGCAGATCATTCTTGGCTTAAAGACCAAGTAATAAAACAAATCCATATACCACCCCAACAAAGAGCTTTTATTTTTAAATTAGTTCAGTTAGTCCCAGAAAACTTCTCTGCCAAGGGAAGCAACTAGAACACGCACTGATTATCAAGATGACACAAAGACCTGCCCTACTTACAACTTCGCTCTAGCCCCAACTCTGGCAATTCCAGAAGAGTAGGACAGTTCAAGAACAGTTAATATTCTATCAGATGAAGCACCAGCCAATCATTGAAACCCCTTTACAGGTGAGGACTGAGTAGGACCCTGATGTGCACACAGCTGCTGAAAAGCAGGGAGACTATGGTACTGATTGTTAGAAGAACACTCACAACCGCAATGTGCTAGAAAAAGTACCTATATGCTTAGTTGGAAGGTTTTTAAATTAACAAATAAAATATGATGGAAAAAGATAAGTAACATAAATCTATAAGTCTACTGCTATGCTACTATTTTTAACACAAACCAGAATTGAAGTGAGTTACCAACAGCATACAGAGAATATCCCACTTATTAAAAATTCTATATAGTTCTAAGTCTGCTTCTGAGGCATGAAGGCAAGGAATAAGCACTAGTTGGCGCTGGTTAACATAACAGAAGTGATCTCAGACTAAGGGTTATTATTTTTCCTTAGCTGCCATAAACGTCTGCTGTGAACATGTAGTAATTGCACAATAATGTTTTCCAATAGGCCATTAAATAAGGACACATAGTTTGGTGTAAGACTTGCAGGCCACATTTTTAGCATAATCCTAAATATTCTAAAGACCCTGTCAAATGCTTTACTCTATACATTATGTTAACAGTATTTTTCCGACTACTAGATAAGGCAGTCTCAATGGAGCTGGAATTAGCAACCATATACTTTGCTTTCTACATGGTCAAATGCCCACTTCCAAATCATCCACTCATTGCTTCTTTCCTTATGTAGATGCTATGTTTACTGGTCTGGGATTCAATCATCTGGCTTTATTACTTCCAAAATGTTGAAAACTAGAGTTTTCTCATCTCCATACTTTCACAATTCTATAAGGGTGACTGATGACCACAGGTGACCTCAGTTGTCCTCATCAAATGTGAGTTTCAGAACCCCTGCTCCATCCATTCCATCTATGAAGGTGACCTCTTATATTTCTCATGCCAATTTTATTTATTTATTTATTTATTTATTCCAAAAAACACGGAAGCAAAATCTAAATGGAATATTGCCTACACACCAGTCAGATGTAAATATCCTATGCTTCTTAGATTTTCTTCCTCAACACTGATTCACTGGCTAAGGTTCCACTGTAAGATACAGAAGAAAGGTAAAGAGACAGCTAGAGCATTTAGCAAAGACCCAAGGAAGAACGTTAACAAACCAGAAGTGAAGGAAGACGGTGGGGAAGAAACTGGATAAAGATGAGAGTATATGAGAAAACACACAGCGTCCACATTTAGGTACAGACATCACATTTATTCTGAAAGCCTTTGAGTAAAGAAAAAAACAGATGCACAGTAAAATATGGAGCTATGGGCAAAAGGTCTGCATTTCCCAGGTCAAGAAATGTTTAAACTGGAGAGTAAGAGACAAGACAGAGGTGGGAACTTCAACAGTCACAGGAAAGTTTATTTGTTAGGGTAAAAAAAATAAGAAATGTTTTCAGCTCACATTTTATTTAAGTACAGAAATATGTCTAAGGAAAACTGACTAATACTATATGCATCTGACATTTGGTGTGAGTCCAGCCTTCAGCAGCTGGGCCATCTCTCAGCCCAATATATAAACCTACAGATTTTATAAGAATCGAAGGACAGCTGGAGAGATGGTTCAGCAGTTAAGAGCACTCACTGGCTGTTCTTAGAGGACCCAGGTTCAATTCTCAGTACCCACATGACAGCTTACAACCTTTGCAACTGCAATTCCAGGGACTACAGTGCCCTCTTTGGTCTCTGTGGGCATTGCATATATGTGGTAAACATACATACATGTAGGCAAAACAACTATACAGGAAAACACTGTGTGTTTTCTCATATATTCTCGTCTTCATCCAGTTTCTTCCCCACCATCTTCCTTCACTTCTGGTTTGTTAAAGTATATTATAAAATGGTAAGTTAAAAAAAATCTAAAACAAAATAATTTTAAGAATCAAAGGAAATTTTCAGTATTTTTCATATATTTCATTCATTGAATAATGGATAAGTGACCAAAATGAACACTGGGGCACGATGTCTGTGTTTTTAAAATATTCAAGAAAAGCTCCTCACAGCAACCTACAGCACATTTTCAGCATCCCAGTGGCTTCTCTTTCTGTAACCCTTCAGAATATCTGCATCAGTAGAAGAGTGTGAATCAGAGCAATGGCAACGTCCATACTGACAGGCCGCAAGCTCTGATTACAACATCCACAGTTCACATAGTTAAGGAAGTAGAGTCTTATACAGTATCTAATTAACCCTCAAGTGACAAGCCCTCATTAGGTACCTGTGTGTAAAAGCCAATGGCCAATACAGTAAATGCACAGAAGCATTTAGAGGAAATGGTTTCTTTGTTC